CAACAGAGTGATTAGGGTTCTATTTTTTTTTTAAGATTTATTTATTTATTATGTACACAGAAGAGGGCGCCAGATCTCATTACAGATGGTTGTGAGCCACCATGTGGTTGCTGGGAATTGAACTCAAAACCTCTGGAAGAACAACAGGCGCTCTTAACCACTGAGCCATCTCTCCAGCCTCCAGGGTTCTATTTTTGTTACTTTAACATCTACATTTAAGAAGAGGGGCTGTTGGTTATATTTGCATAACAAACCATCTCAGACAAGAACAAATTCAAAGGTGAAAGGTGACCAGCACTCAGCCTTCTCAATCTTCCCATCCACAAGATTTACTGAAAATTTGTTTAGATTCCCTCCCCCCACCTCTACCCCACCCCTCCACCCACCCCACCCACTCCCACCCCCAGCCAATTGGGATCGCTCTTAAGAAGGTCCTGCGGAGGCTGCGAAAGTCTTCTGAGGAGGAGGAGTTTGTCTCCACATCGATCAGACGCTGTGTTGGACAGGTATGTGAACCACATTTGTGGCGGGAATGCATCGAGGAGGCCTGGAACGTCCCCCAAATTTCCATCAGAGTCACCAAAAAGCCACTTTAACCTTCGGGTTAAGTGGGGGACTCCTTGGCACCAGTTGCTGGAGTGTCTGTGGACGATGAAGATGGTGGCCATTTTTTATCAGTTTTTCAAGACAGGGTTTCTCTGTGTAGTTTTGGTTCCTGTCCTGGAACTCTCTCTCTGTTGACCAGGCTGGCCTCGAACTCACAGAGATACGCCTGCCTCTGCCTCCCGAATGCTGGGATTAAAGGTTTGCGCCACCACGGCCTGGCTCCCCACCTTATTTTCTATGTATTTGTGTTTTCTCCGTGTCTGTCTGCAGCCCTGACATATCTAGTACCCACAGAGACCAGAAGAGGGTGTCAGATTTGGGGCTGTCATGTAGGTACTAGGAGCCCCCTGGAAGAGCAGACAATGTTCTTCACTTCTGAGCCATCTCTCCTGTTCACCCCTTTGCCTCTTCAGACGGTCTTGTGATGTAACTGTTCTTAAACTCCCAGTGATCCTCCTGCCTCTGCTTACTGAGTGCTAGGTTAAGTGTGACACCACAACCAGACCTTTCTACCCTTGGAGGGAGTCAGTTCTGGTTCCGGGATAGAATTCAGATCACCAGGCTTGGCAATGAGTACCCTTACCAGATTACTATTCCCTCTTGAATGAGCTGTGGGTTCTCACATTTAGGCCGGTCAGGAAAAGCTATGATGCCATGGCTGGGCTCTAAATCTTTTTTGTTGTTGTTGTTGTTGTTGTTGTTGTTGTTGTTGTTGTTTTGGTTTCTCAAGACAGGGTTTCTCTGTGTAGTTTTGGTGCCTGTCCTGGATCTCACTCTGTAGGCCAGGCTAGCCTGGAACTCACCGAGATCTATCTGCCTGGCAGTGCCTCCCGAGTGCTGGGATTAAAGGTGTCGCCACCGGTCCTGGCTCTAGATCTTAAAGGAAGGTTACAAAGCATAATCAGGGCTGGTACGGTTTAGGCTGCGGAGGCTCATTAGGAGGTCTTAGGGTAGGCTGTTCAGTCTAGAGAAGTTATGGTCCCAAACTGGGAGAGAAGATACATTTTTAAAAAAGGAGCGGGCATGAGAGACAGGTCAGAGGCCTCTGGACAGGCTAAACAGACCAGAGAAGTTGAATGGGTATGGGAGTGGGAGAAGGGGGGGTTGGGCCTTGAGTTTGATTCTAATAGTTGGGCCCAAAGAATGCAAACTAGTACATGTCCCTTCAAAATAATAGCCTCTGACATCTTTACTGGCCACACCAAGAAATGGAATTATGTAGGCACTGTATCTTTTAAAAAAAATCCCCTCCGTAGCACTTCCTTAAAAATAAGTATTTATTGCAACTGTGCCAGCGTGTTCTTGATAGTGTCCTCAATGACATCGCAACTTGGTGAAGAGTTCAAGTGTATCTTCCTGGTAAGTGTTCAGCCCATGCTTCTCCAAGCCCTTTATATTAACTGCCCGTTTTCTCTTTCAGGTGGATGCTTCTTGCTTGGGCTGTTGTCTTATTTGTCTGTTGAGTTGCAAATGTTCTTCTTTCCTTTGTATTTGCTGCTTAAGAGTTGGGAGAAGGGTCTGGGGCATCAGTTAATGTGGTGCTGGGAATGGAAACCCAGGCTTGAGGGGATACAGCCCCAGAAACTGCAAATTTACAGCACACTCTAAAATGAAACTGCTTCAGCTCCTTTATTTATAGTTCACAGAAACCTTGCTTTAGGAGTCTAGTGTAGAGTTTGCTTCTACTAAAATACTCCAGGCACCTTTGAATAATATTTAGTTCAACGTACAGCAAGCTTCAGCACCAATGGGTGAAGTCACGATTGCCTAAAAAGTCACGGATGGCTTTTAAAAACTATCTAATACTAATAATGTTCATTTGGTGGGTGGCACAGCTAAAATCTCAGCGCTTGGGGAGACTGACTGAGGATCGACATGAGTTTAAGACAAGGCTGGATTACAGAATGAGTGTGAGGCTAGCCCAGGCAGGGTCCAAAGTCACTATCCTCAAAGAGCAAATAAACAGACCACCAAAAAAAAAAAAAATTGATCAAAGAACACAGCCCATATTGGATTTATGAATGTTCTTCTTGTGTTTTAAGTGAAGTGATGTGATGCGAAGATTATGCATTGTGCTTTGATCTCACTGTATTATTTGCTATTGAATTGTTATTATTATATCAGTATTATTAAAAGATTGCCAGATGTTGGTGGCACATACTTTTACCCAGCACTCGATGTTTTAATACTGATATTTCAGAGGGAGGTGAATCTCTGAGTTCAAGGCCAGCCTGGTCCACAAAGTGAGTTCAGGACACAGAGAAACTCTCAAAAATAAAAAACAACAGCAAAAAAATAAAATAAATGCTAAACATTAAATAATATTAAAGAGTGTCATCTATGTTTATGGGATAAGAACTTGAGTTAACAGCCTCTGGCTTTATTTATTATTTATGGTTTTTTGAGACAGGGTTTCTCCATGTACTTTTGGTGCCTTGCCTGTGTAGCTTTTGGAGCCTATCCTGGATCTCGCTCTGTAGACCAGGCTGGCCTCGAACTCACAGAGATCTGCCTGCCTCTGCCTCCTGAGTGCTGGCATTAAAGGTGTGTGCCACCACCGACCAGCTAATCAATATTTTAAAAAAATAAAGAGACCCTTTCTCAAAAAGTATTGGGGGGCAGTTAAATAATAAATTTGTCCAGATGTGGTCAAGCATGTCTACAGTCCCTGAACTCTGGAGGCTGAGGCCGGAGAATTGCAGGTTCAAAGAGAGCCTGAGCTGAGATCTTGTCTCAGAAGCAAAACAGGACTGGAGAGATGTCTTAACAGTCAGAGGCACTGGCTGCTGGTCCAGAGGACCCAGCTCCAACTCCCCGAAGACACGTGGGTTGCTAAGGTGAAAAAATTGAACTTCAAAACTTTTCAATTAAAAGTATTTGGGAGTGGTACAAGGTCGTCTCCCATATAGCCCAGGCTGGCCACAAACTCAAATTTGAGGTAATCTTCCTGATATTTAGCTTTGTGGGTGCCAGGGTTATAATAGAGTGCTAGATAGGACTATAGGTTTGCCCTGTGGCGCCCAGTTCATAGAGCAGTGTTTAAATAATTGGGATTCTGCAACGTGTTCCTGTGATCTCTGTTCTCTCACCAGTTAAGGAGTGAAAGTGACCCACCCACCACCTTCAGCTGTTTTTACATTTAAGACCGTGTAGGAGCAGAGGTGACAACAGTCTGCAGGAACAGGCGCTTGCCCTGTACACATGAGAGCCAGGCGTAGGGTCTCCAGAACTGCTGGAAATACTGATGTGCTAGCTAGCTTGGGGTTGTGGTTGCTGTTTGTGTCTCCTGGCACAAGCTAGAGTCATCTGGGAAGAAGACGTTTAACTGAGAAAGTGCCTCCGATAGACTGGCCTGTAGGTGAGTCTGTGGAGCCTTTTCTCTCTCTCTCTCTCTCTCTCTCTCTCTCTCTCTCTCTCTCTCTCTCTCTCTCTCTCTCTCTCTCGGGTGTTCTTGATTTTGTTTTGTTTTTTGAGACAGGGTTTCCTGTGTAAAAAGTCCTGGCTGGCCCGGAACTCACAGAGACGCATTTGTCTCTGCCTCCCAAGTGCTCCTGTGGAGGATTTTCATGATTGACCATGAGAGGGCTCTGACCACTGGGTGTTGCCACCCCTAGGTGGGTGGCCCTGAGTTGTGTAAGAAAGCAAGCTGAGCAAGCCAGTACATGCCATTTCTCTGTGGCCTCTGCTTTAGTTCCTGCCTTGGGTTCCCGCCCTGACGTCCCCCAATGGTGGACAGTGACATATAGTAAATCCCCTTTCTCTCCAGTTGGTCATGGTGTTTTAGCACAGTAACTGAAACTGCCAGGGGGAGTGAGTGGCCTCCTGTAATCCCAGCACTTGGGAGCATGAGTCAGCACGAGCTGGCGAACTTGACCCAGTCAGCAAATTGTGGGGCTCAAGTGAGAGATCCTGTTTCAGTATGGGAGGTAGAGAGTGTGGTGGAGGGAGACACTCGGCATCCACTTCTGCTCTCTGTACACACTGGCATGCATGATCAGCCACACAGACATGTTTGTTACACACACACACACACACACACACACACACACACACACACACACACGTGTACACGCATGCACATGCACACGAATGCATGCAATATGCATACATAGAATGACAGAAAAGTGAAACATTCATAGGAAATCTTGGGGAAAGAAAAATTGTTCCCATGAAAGAATTAAGATGATGGCATTTTGCATTTATAATATTAAAAAAAAACATTTTCTGGGCAAGATCTGTTCATTTAGGATCAAATTAAAAGTTCCTTTTGTTTTAAGGTTAATCTCATACCTGTAATCCCAGCATTCCAGAGGCCACTCGGGAGGAGTGGTATGAATGGGAGGCCAGCCTGCGCTACAGACTGAGTCCTGGTCTCAAAAAAACCCAGAGACAAAATAAATAATAAGTGTAAAACCTATTTGGGATTGTCCTTTTACTTATTTTCCTTCCTCCCCCAGAACTGGTTACTGAACCCAGAGCCGTGCGCAAACAGGCAGGAGCTGTTCCTCTCCCCAGTTAGTGAACAATGGTCAGTGCTTTTGTTTGTCTGTCTGTTTTTTTATCTTCACTCTCCTGGTTTTAAACTGAGACTTCTTTCTTTTTGAGACAGGGTGTCATGTATCCCCGGTTGGCCATATGTGGCCAGGGGTGACTTGAAGTACCCGCTCATTCTGCTTCAACTTCTAAGTGCTGGGATCATAGACGTGGTGCTGGGGACTGAACCCATCATTTTTATTTATGCTATATACAACCTTATACCGTATGGAATTCTATAATTTTTATAGTATTTTAAGCTATAGGATAAATACTTTGGGTAAGCACCAGACTGAAAGACCAATGCTTTAAATACTGAACTAAGAAACTGGCTCTCACATTTGGTGACATCTGAGCCACTACGGATTGTCTATGGCCAAGAAGCTGGTGAGCATTCTACACTGCAATGAATGAACAGCCTCCTGCAGTGGGAAAGAACTTAGCCAGTCTACTGTGCCCAGAGTGCGGAAGGTGAAACTCTCCGAGCAAAACAGCAAAATTACATTTTATTAATTTCAGAACTCCCAAATTGCACCGTTGTTGCCACAGACTTGCACTGAGCAAGACAGCCTGGGTCAAGCATTTGAGGATGCTTTTGAGGCGCTGACACAGCCTTCAGTTGGAGAACTTCAGTACTCGCCAGGTAAGAGCGGTCGTTTGCTCTCATCTCTCGGCACATGTGTTGGTCACATGCATATGTAAGAGTAAAGGCGTGGACGCCTGATAGACGTACAATGTCTGGCACTTGCAAGGCTGGGGAAGGGGTCTCCCATGGGCTTCCCAGCTAGCCAGCACACCCTCATTGATGGGTTCTAGGCCAATGCAAGACCCTGTCTCAGAAAACAAGGCTGTTGAAGGATGATATCTGAGGTTGACTTTGGCTCACACATGTGTGTACCCACATACATGTACACCTGCATGTGGTACACAGAGAAACATGCAGGTGAAAAACCACCCACATCCATAAAATAATTTTAAAAAGTAATGTGGAGCCGAGGCAAAGGGGTCATTGTTTTGAGGCCAGCTTGATAATACATAGCTAGACTTTGTCTCAACAAGACAGAATAAACATAAAGTCTGCTTACCATTGCTTACTATATTATTATTCTCCTGGTTTTCCAAGAAAAGCTTTTCCTTTAAAAAATGGATATGTCAGCACTCGGGAGGCAGAGCCAGGCAGATTGCTGTGAGGCCAGCCTGGGCTACCAAGTGAGCTCCAGGAAAGGCGCAAAACTACGCAGAGAAACCCTGTCTCAAAAAAAAAAAAAAAAAAAACCAAGAAAAAAAAAAAAAGGATATGTATATGGTATATTGTGTATATGTGCATGGTGTGGTGTATTGTGTACATGTATATGTGTATGGTGTGGTGTACTGTGTATATGTATATGTGTGTATGGTGTTGTGTATTGTGTATATGTATATGTGTGTTTGTATGGTATATTGTGTATGTATATATGTATGGTGTATTGTATGTGTATATGTGTATGTATATGGTATGTTATGTATGTATATTGTGTATTATGTATATGTGTGTGGTATTGTATATGTGTATATGAATATGTATGTATATTATTATCTGGACCATTATTAGAGTATGGAAGTCAGGGGACCACCTTGGGTGTCATCCTTGTCTCCCTTGTATTTGCGCCAGAGTCTCAATACCATGCACATGCCAGGCTAGCTGGCCTGAAAACTTCTGGGACTCTCCTGACTCTGCATCCATCCTATCTTGCCACAGACACACTAGGATTACAGTACTCAGCTTTACTGGCTTCTGGGGACTTGAACTCTGGTCCTTACGTTGATGTGGCATGTGCTTTTCCCATGGAGTCATCTCCCAGCCCAGAACAAGCATTTTCTTTTTTAAAGATTTATTATGTATACAGTGTTCTATTTGCATGTATTCCCGCAGGCCAGAAGAGGGAGAGATCTCATTACAGATGGTTGTGAGCCACCATGTGGTTGCTGGGAATTGAACTCAGGACCTCTGGAAGAACAGCCAGTGTTCTTAACCTCTGAGCCATCTCTCCAGCCCATTTTTTTTTTTTGAGACAAGGTTTCTCTGTGTAGTTTTGGTTCCTGTCTTGGAACTCACTCTGTAGCCCAGGCTAGCCTTGAACTCACAGAGATCCGCCTGGCTCTGCCTCACAAGTGCAGGGATTAAAGGTGTGTGCCACCACTGCCGCTGGCCCTCAGAACAAGCATTTTCATTGTTATATCTCTCAGGCCTTCCACTCACCTAAGACATAGTCTGTGTGGAAGAATGCAGCGGGGTTTTTTTTTTTTTTTTTTTTTTGGGTATTTTTCTTCTTGCCACAGGGTGGCAGGTTTGTCCTTAAAAATGGGGCTTCCAAACACCAATGAAAATGGATGGCCCAGGTCCAGCATCTCAGAATGCCTGTTTTGTTTTTGTTTTTGGTTTGGTGTTTTGAGATAAGGCTTCTCTGTGTAGCCCTGGCTGTCCTGAAAAACCATCTATAGACCAGGCTGGCCTCGAACTCAGAGATCCACCTGCCTCTGCCTCCCAAGTGTTGGAATTAAAGGCATCTGGGATTAAAGGTGTCTGGGGTTAAAGGCGTGCACCACCACCGACCAGCTCTATGGTTATTATTCTTTGATCTATGTAAGATGCATATGTTGTCGATTGAGTTTACATATGGTATCGCAGAGTTCCAAGGTTAAAAGCAGTCAGGGACAGGAATATTTCTCCATAAGGCAAATGGGTTATGAAGAAGAGTATCTATAATATTAAAATGTTGGGAGCTGGGTGGTGGTGACGCACGACTTTAATCCCAGCACTCAGGAGGCGGAGGCAGGTGGATCTCTGTGAGTTTGAGGCCAGCATGGGCTATGGGGTGAGTTCCAGGAAAGGCTACACAGAGAAACCCTGTCTCGAAACCTGCTCCCCCCCAAAAATTTAAAATATTGGGGTAAATACCATGGGAGAAATATAAAGTGTTAAGAAAACTTAGAAGGCAGCAATCAATAGAATTTGGGTCACCTTGGGCATGGGCATGTGTGGGTATGTGTGCATGTGTGGGTATGTGTGCATGTGTGGGTATGTGTGCATGTGTGGGTATGTGTGCATGTGTGGGTATGTGTGTGTGTATGTGTATAAATGAATGTGTGCTTGTAAACTTGGACTTATGAAGTGTCTTTCTGTTCTGTTTTTAAATTAGAAAATAATAAAAATTACATGGCATTCCTTAACCATTATCCTAACATCAGAGGCAGTTCCAATTGGTGTGGAATGTTACCCCCAGAAGAGCCCACCTATAACTGGAGAAATGTAACTGTGAGTATGCTCAGGGAGACTAATCGCTCGGCACAGAACAGCACCCACACCTGCCATGCTTTTGGTGTAGAATGAGTGAGGTTATTAAGTTTAAAGCTACCATGAGTAAAAGAACGAGACAGCAAGGAGCAGAGAGACAGAAGAGCCTTGGGTCAGGCGTGCAGAGCAGAGGAAGCCGGAAAGTTTGGGAACAGCAGTCACCTAGAGTTCCTGCTAGGCAGAGGGCGCCAAGCAGAACATGTTCTCCAGGGTGAGACTTTGAATTCCCGCCACAGGCGTTTTATATCGCATATCAATGAGTCTTTAACTTTAGGGAGGCGCCTGAGACTAGCTCACCTTTCAGGTGCGTTCAAGGCTATCATGTTTTTGTTTTTGTTTTTGTTTTTTTTTCTCAAATGACCTCCTGTTCTCAAGGACATGGCACTCCTCGACTGTTTTCTACTTTCCTTTTCTCCTTCTTCCAGGGCCCGGAGGTCCTGGCCCAGCCCTGGACAGTGGAGTCTTAGGAGACATTTTAAGAGTAACAGGCTTGACTCTGAAGTGAATATCCATGACAGAGTGAGCAAGTAGCTTTAGATCCCTTTCCATGAGTCCATCACTTGTGTCCATTCTCAGCACCCTTTCTCTCTCTCTCTCTCTCTCTCTCTCTCTCTCTCTCTCTCTCTCTCTCTAAAGATTTTATTAATTATGTATACAGTGTTCTGTCTGCATGTTCTGTCTGCATGTGTCCTTGCAGCCCAGAAGAGGGCACCAGATCTCATTGCAGGTGGTTGTGAGCCACCATGTGGTTGCTAGGAATCGAACTCAGGACCTCTGGAAGAACAGTCAGTGCTCTTAACCACTGAGCCATCTCTCCAGCCCTCTCAGTACCCTTTCTACATGTTCTATCACACCTCCGTGTACATCTGTTTACATATATGTACACACATTATGGATGTGTGTATATGCATACTAGGGTCCGCATCTGAGGGAGAATATGCAGTTTTTTTCTTTCTGAGATTGTGTGACCTTACTTAATATTATACATACTAAGTTTGTCCATTTTTCTGCAATTCTGTCATTTCATTTTTCTTTCTAGGTTAATAGTATGCAGTTTTACATAGCTTTTTCAAGTTTTAATACGGTAGGTCTGACTGTAAAACTCGGTTTTTCTGAATAAAGGCAGTGGGGAGACAGATGAATAAAGAGAGGGAGCTGGCCATGGTGCCACATACCTATAATGGCAACATTTGGGAGATAGAAGCAGAAAAATCAGGAGTTCAAGATCATCCTCCACTACATAGTGTGTTTGAGGACAGCCTGGGCTACAGGAGACTTAAAAAACAAAACTATGGGCTGGAGAGATGGCTCATAGGTTAAGAGCACCAGCTGCTCTTCCAGAGGTCCTGAGTTCAATTCCCAGCACCCACATGGTGGCTCACAACCATCTGTAATGAGATCTGGCGTGCTCTTCTGGCCTGCAGGGACACATGCAGGCAGAATACTGTACACATAATAAATAAATAATCTTAAAACAAAACTGTGGCCCCAACAGACACCCAAGGAGGAAGGCAGAAGCTGAGAACTGTTATCGGTCACATGGAAACTAGTGTCTGAGTGGCTAACAGTAAATGAGAGTGGTCTGCGGGCTGGCGTGGTTAGGAGCACGCTCTGCTCTTGCAAAGGACCAGTTCAGTTCAGTTCCCGACACCCACAGGACTTCTCACTATTATTGCCTATAACTTCAGTTCCAGAGGACCCACCACCCTCTTCTGGCCTCTGTGCGCTCTGCATGCACACAGTGCACAGATATACGTACAAACAAAAGTTATACACACAAAAGAAAAATAAATAATAGGAAAAACCCCTCAGTTTCTCCTTCATCTTCAGGCATGTGTGTTATGTCTAATATCCTTTTTCTCTGTGTAAATCGGGCCTTGCTGCATCTTGTATTTTCTTTTTCTTTCTCTCCCTTTATTTTCTTCTGTGTATGTATAGCCATTCCTTATTTATTAGATGCTGGGAGTCAAACCCAGGCCCTAAGGCCATGTATATACTAGGCAAGCACTTTACAGACAGCGATGTCTCCAACCCCATAAACCACTTCTTTAAAGAGGGGATTTGGGGGCTGGAGAGATGGCACAGAGGTTAAGAGCACTGACTGCTCTTCCAGAGGTCCTGAGTTCAATTCCCAGCAACCACATGGTGGCTCACAACCTCTTGCAATTGGATCTGGTGCCCTCTTCTGGCCTGCAAGGACACATGCACACAGAACACTGTATTCATAATACATAAATAAATCTTTAAAAAAATACACATTAAAGAGGGGATTTGGGTTCCAACTAACCTAACCTCTTGTCCTTTTCCGATTGCCAGGTAAAACAAACTAGGGTTGTCTGGCAGCCCTACTTTCATGGCTCTTAGCTTGCAGAGTGTAGACGGCTTCTTGTAGTTGGGAACCCCTGACCTGACAGTGTGGGGATGATACAAGACAGCTCAAGTCCAGCCCCTTCCACTGCGTCTAATTAACAGTGGACACAGACGCGTCTTTGCCACCTGCAATGGCAGGAACTTCTTCCTCTTGTCCCTCGGTCCCGTCTGTCATCATTCTTCCCTTACCCATGTAGGCGTTCAATCCACGAAATCCATGAAGAATGAAAACCCATCTTCCCTTGGCGCTGACACTCTAATCTTTTGATCGTTTCGTTTGGGGCGCAGGGAGGGGGGGGTTCCTGTTTTTTTTTTTTTTTTTTTTTTTTTTGACACAGGGTTTCTCTGTAGTTTTGGAGCCTGCCCTGGATCTCTCTCTCTCTGTAGCCCAGGCTGGCCTTGAACTCACATAGATTCACCTGGCTCTGCCTCCTAAGTGCTAGGATTAAAGGTGTGTGCCGCCATCACCTGGCCCTCCTGTTTATTTTTTGAGATATAGTGTTTGTCTACAGCCCAGACGCTATAGCCCAGCATCTCCTTACTCAAAGCAGTCCTCCTGCCTCAGTTACTTGCAGCACTGCTTTAGCCTTAGGCTTCCTGGTGCTAGGGCTGCGGCTGCGGTTGTGAGCTGCCATGCCTGATTCACGCTGATTCTCTTGGCTCTCTCTCACTCGGGGCATCCTTAGAAGAGGACATGGGTGGAGGAGTCAAATGTTAACTTCTTTTTTTTTTTAAGATTTATTTATTTATTATGTATACAATGTTCTGCCTGCATGTATACCTGCAGGCCAGAAGAGGGCTCTAGATCTCATTATTGATGGTTGTGAGCCACCATGTGGTTGATGGGAATTGAACTCAGGACTTCAGGAAGAACAGCTCTTAACCTCTGAGCCATCTCTCCGGCCCAAATGTTAACTTCTATCCTTGGTCCTCTCTGTATCTTTTGATGATCCCTGAGATGATCTGGCTGCGGTGGAGGTGGCACTTGAGAATCCAGATATTTAGTACCCTTTGCTCTTAGCATTGGTCTTCAGCCACTGACTGGGGGTGGGGCGGGGAGGGACAAACTTCCCCTTACTTAGCATTCTGCTGTCTTGTGTATGTAGAATGGCTCTGGGGACTTGTATTTGGAAGAAAATATCCATCAATCTCTGCACAGCATAACTGAACACCAGCTGGCACAAGCCACCCTCTTCCAGCAAAAGGGAGGAAAAGGTATGCCGATACGACACCCCTTACATAGGTACAAAGGAATGTTATATGTGTTTTGGATTTTTTTTCCCTTTCTTCTTTCATTATGTAGCCCAGGCTAGCCTGGAACTCACTAGTAGACCAAGATGTCTTCAAATCCACAGTCCTACCTCAATGTTCTGAGTGTTGAGATTATAGGCATACAGCCCCACGCTGGATGGAGTTCAGAGTTAATGATATTTCTAAGTGTCATCTTGTAGCTGAACATGATAGCACTCAGGTCCAGCACTGAGGCAGGATTCCAAGTTTGAAGCAAGCCAGGGCTACATGCTAGACTCTATCCCAAGAAAAATCTGTTAACAGCCTGAGTTGAACCATTCCAAGAGTGTTGGGTTATTTATTGGGTCATAGGCAACTTACTGATGATTACAATCTAGAAGAAGAAAAATGATGCTGCCACCCCACCCCTAGCAGCCATTAACTACCAATAGCTCCTATAACTAATATAAGAAAAACTATATATAATAAGTACAATAACTATATACAATATATACAAGCAATAAATACCTAAACAATGCTAGTCCATTTGCATTTGACAAACTCAGAGAAAATATTCCATTATCTATCCTATTTTGGTAAGTTCAAAATGTCCCTGATTCGCTTTCTATCCTAACTTATATTACTAACAGAGAACTATCTTATAATGTCCTTCAAATTCATACACTTACACCTATTTAGTGAGTTTCTTTTCTGAAATTCCTAACAAGGAAAACTATAACTATCTAATCTTCAACTAACTATAACTATCAATCTTCAACTCCCTCAGAGACCCAAGGAGGAAATAATATTACCTAATAAAACAGGAAGTGCAAGCAAGCGGCTTCCAAAAAAAATGTGAGTTGACAGAAACAGCCAGCTGCCTGGACAGTCACCAGAGGTTTCTTCGAAACGTTGGGGCATCACCTTCCACCTATAGGCTTAGTGTATCTGACAGACTCATTTGTGAAGTAGGATGTACACAAGGCCTACAGTTCGACCTCACATTGGGTGAGAGCAGTCCATGTACCAGAAACACCTGAATTCCACTAGTGTCCTGTCGTGATTCAGGATTTTAAATTCTGGAAATTGTTGATATTTTTGGAGTTCAGCTGTCCATTCTTCTCAGCTTGTGGGTGGCTTCATCTCTTTTATTAAATGCCAGTCTACCATTGAGAGGTTAGACTCCGTCAACTTAGTTACTCTTTCAAGAATAACTGCTTCAGCTGCTGTTCCACTGCACATCAGAAGCCATTGGTCCACTGCCAGTTCAGCTGCCTCTGAAGAAAGGGGCACTGTACCTTTTCCAGATTGCAAAGGCCACTTCGGTGATGGTACCATATTGCCCTGGCCTCAGAGGATGCCTGTTGCTGAAGTCACAACCACACTTGTCTTGGCAAGAATTGGTAGTTCTTTGTTTCGTGTCCTGTCTGTCCATTTTGTCCTGTTTGTCAGCAGTCGATTCGAGGATACTTTGTTGTCCAGTGGCTAACTTTTGCCACAATGAAAGTTAACTCCATATACAGTTTCTTCAATGCCCATATTTTCTTTGAAGTAGATTGGTGCTGCCAGGAGCCAACATGTCTCATTGACATAAAAAAAGAAAAATTTTCTAAGTTATTAAAACATTGTAAATGCCATATTGTGTAGATCTCTGAAAGGTTTGAAGATGACCTGTCTATCTAAAATATATCATCTGCTCGACCTTGAAAACATACCTAATATGACTACAAGTTCTATTGTAATGTCTAACTACTAACTTTCATTTCTTTATATCCTAAAATATGACTACAAGTTCTATTGTAATGTCTAACTACTAACTTTCATTTCTTTATATCCTAATAGTTGGTAATAATAACATTCAAGGATTAGCAAATTGCATTACATTGTTAAACTGTACAAATACAATATCTTGAACAAGATTAGAAATATACTATAGCATTTTCTTTTTTCTTTTCTCTCCCCCTCCCCAGCTGAGGACTGAACCCAGGGCCTTGTGCTTGCTAGGCAAGCACTCTACCTCTGAGCTAAATCCCCAGCCCTTCCGTATAGCGTTTTCTAATTATCAATCTCAATATATATCATTTGTATACAATATACAAATATCCAATCCAATGTAAAGTATTTAAAACTAGTAATTATCTTTTAAAAGTAGATTCAATAACCTTTTTATCTACATCGTATCTATATCTTCTCTTTACTTTCAGAGTAGATTCGATAATCTACCTACTGACCCCCTATTGCTACAATGCAGGCAGTCTCAGATTCTGTGTGGGTTCTGTGCAGGTGGCCACAGCAGCAGTGGGTTGACAGTACAATGGCCATATCATGTTCAGAAGACAGTGTCACAGTTTGTAAACCCAAGATAATACAAGCCCTTTGGGAATAAACTATCCTAATTACTCAAGGAGAAAATAGAATCTAGCTGAGAGGTGTTTTTTTAACTACTGGTGGGTCCAGTGGGACATGATACAGCATAAGCTAATTTGGATGTCATGGAGGTGACTGTCACTTTAATTTCATGAATTCTATCACAACATGCAATCCACACAAATCCTCTAAATTTCCATATATAGTCATTTTGAGACACAAATGATTACATTCCTAAAAAGATGACAGAAGCTGACCTCAGCACTTCATTTCATCATAGTTGCAAATGACAATGACCTTAGGCATTGCTCCTGGACGAGGGCATGAAAACTTTTTTTTCTGGCCTTTCTACTGCAGTTTTTTTTCTTTTTAATTTTCAGGACATTTTACCGCTCCAGAGCTAACCTCTAAGTCATGGCTAATAATTTAATTCCCTTAATATTTTAGGGCCAAGAGGTGACAATATTAAAGAGCATTGGAACTAGAGGTAAAGATGGCCGTGAGCCGAGATGTGGGTGCTGAGAATCGAACCTGAGTCTTTTCTGCAAAGCTCAAGAAGTGATCTAACAGCTGAGCCACCTCTCCAGCCCCTTGTACATTTCATAATGTGAAACGATAGTCGACATTTAACTGTGAAGGAAGACCGCCTTCAGATGAATCTCCAGATGAGGAGGCCCAGGCTTCCTGTTTCCCTAGGACAGTAAATAACTTTTAACAATTTCCACATTGTAAGTCTAGTGCAAACTTCAAGAGGCCTGTGGATCCTTCTGGCCTGCTGGTAACTTCCTAAGGCAGTGAGTGTGAGGAAGCAGGCGCAGTGAAGCTTCCATTTCTGGGGCTCGTCAAGTCCTTCACAGGACCTTCCAGGGACAGCCACAGAGGGTTTGACGTCTCCTCTCCCTTCCTTGCAGGCAGGAGGAAGCTTCGTCTGTTTGAATACCTTTATGAATCTCTGTGCAATTCAGAGATGGCATCTTGTATTCAGTGGGTCGACAAAACCAAAGGCGTCTTTCAGTTTATATCAAAAAACAAAGAAAAGCTTGCTGAGCTTTGGGGCAAAAGAAAAGGTAACCGAAAACCCATGACTTACCAGAAGATGGCCAGAGCCCTGAGGAACTATGCCAGGACTGGAGAGATCACGAAAATCCGGAGAAAGCTGACCTACCAGTTCAGCGAAGCTGTTCTCCAAAGACTCTCTCCATCTCCCTTCCTGGGGAAAGACCTCTTCTACTCACAGTACGGCCAGTCTGATCAGGAGTATCTCAGCTTGAACTCCTGGAATCCAAACTACTACCCTTATGCCGGTTACCAGAACTAAGCCACCCCAGCTTCGAACTGTTCTATCATTTCTTGCTCTGCTAGGATCAGAAAACCCAGGGCTTCAGAATTTTCCCTCACAGATCCCACATCTATGATACAGAAACAACATCTAAGGAGGGCTGTGACAGAACACGTGCAGACTTTTCTTGTTGTCCTGACAACTTTGTTTTTTTTTTTTTTTTCTCCGAGACAGGGTTTCTCTGTGTAGCTTTGGAGCATGTTCTGGATCTCGCTCTGTAGACCAGGCTGGCCTCAAACTCACAAAGATCCGCCTGGCTCTGCCTCCCGAGTGCTGGGATTAAAGGTGTGTGTCACCACTGTCTGGCTTAGTCCTGACAACTTTTTAGGTAGTTCAAAGGAAGCTGAAGATATACAGATAGCTGCAAGTGAACGAACTATGAGCATCCTTCTCATCGTTTGCTTTTGTAACAGACTTAGTACCCATAGATTGGGTAACCAAGAACAGTGTGGATCAGACTAGATGCATCTCCTGTGGTCCAGGGTGGCTTTGAACTCACCGAAATCCAGGTGGATCTCAGTCTCCCAAGTGCTAGGATTAAAGGTGTGTGCCACCACTTGCTGGCCTCTGCTTAATCTAGTGGCTGGCTCTGTCCTGATCTTCAGGCAAACTATTTGTTAGAGTGCAAACAAAATATTACCACCATTTTTTTATTTTATTTTATTTTGGTTTTTCAAGACAGGGTTTCTCTGTGTAGCTTTGTGCCTTTCCTAGGACTCAATCTGTAGCCAAGGCTGGCCTTGAGATCTGCCTGCCTCTGCCTCCTGAGTGCTGAGATTAAAGCCACTTGGCTTTTTGTTTTTTGTTTTGTTTTTTCAGAGCTGAGGACCGAACCCAGGGCCTTGCGCTTAGGCAAGCGCTCTACCACTGAGCTGAACTCCCACCCCCTGGCTCTTTGTTTTAAGACAAGGCTTCTCTGAGTAGTCGTGGAACTCAGTGTGTAACCAGACTGGCTTCTCCAGTTGTAGAGATCCACCTACCTCTGTCTCCCAAAGGCTGGGATTTAGGGAATGGCACCACACCGCCACAGCCAGGCAGTGATGACCACCCGGCTGTGATCAGTGTTGATTGTCAAGTTGATTTAAACTGTAACCATCTAGGACACGTGCCTCTGGGCATGCCTGAAGGTATTTCTAGGAAGGATTAACTGGGGTGTGTGTGTGTGATCCTCCCCCGAATAGAAATCTGCTGCTTTGCTCGCTGGACCACCCTCACCTTGCTGGAACCCGTGCATCCCCCTGCCGCCGCCGCCGCTGCCGCCGAAGCGTTTGTTGCCGTCAGAACTGCGATGCTGGACTGAGGACTGCTCCAAGGCCCTCGTGGGCTGGCTGGGCAGCTGCTGGTTCTCAGTCTCGGGCGACATGTAGACAGCCACCATTGGACCACGGGACCCCGCCAGTCATTGCTCTCAGTCACCTGCTCAGCAGCCTTAGAATTACGTTTCATATGTACTCCATCAGTTCTGTTCTCTAGAGAGTGCTTCACCTGTAAACATGTGATAACAGAGCCCATTGCTTTGTGCAATTAATACATGCTAATACAAAATGTTTGCAACAACATGGGTGAACTTCAGAAGAAATTTTAATCTTAACCCCAGATAGGTTTATTAGGGTGCACAATATTTTGGAGAACACAATACCGCCACATTTCCCCCTTTTTGTCTAAAATTTAGAAAAAGGTTATAACTAATACAAGAAAAACTATCCAATAAGCACATACAATATATACAGTCAAGAATTACATTAACAATGTCTAGTCCACTAACATTTGACAGATTCAGACAAAAAAACCTCCATTATATATATTAATGTCCAGTCCAGTAACATTTGATAAACTCAGACAAAAAAAATTTCATTACTTATCCTATTTAAAATAAGTAAATCCTTTTTAAGAGTATTTTTTTCTTTTCATAATAGATTCAGTAATCTACCTTTTTTATCTACCTTTTCATTTTTATATTTTTTGTTTTTTGTTTTTTTCTTTTTTCCAGATACGGGGTCTCTGTGTAGCCCTGGCTGTCCTGGAACTGTTTTTTACAACAGGGTTTCATTATATAGCTTTGCCTGTCCTAGACCAACGTAGACCAGGCTAGCCTGAAACTCACAATAACCTGCCTGGTTCTGCCTCTCCAGCACAAGCGACAGAGGTGTGTGAGACTATGTAAGTGAAATGAGAGGCACAGGGAGGTAGGGGCCTCTGTCGTCTTGTGGAATCAAACCTTGAAATCCTGGCAGCAGAGTTACCAGGGGCCCCGACCAGGGCTTGGGGAGGTGCTGGCTAAGGAGCAGAGCTGTAATTAGAAGACGTTCTGATGTCCTAGTCCTCCATAAGGTGACAGTTAACAGTGTCATTGTACATGTGAGATGGCTCAGCTCTGCCAGAGGAAGCAGCGCGTTCCTCAGCACCCACATAGCCCACAACTGCCTGTAACGTCAACTCCAGGGGACCGGCCGGCCACTCTCTTCTGGCCTCTGTTGACAGCCACGCACGGCATACGTTCACAAAGACACACATGCACGTGTACAAAAACATCAACACATCTTGAAAATAGAAATACTCTGTATATTGCAGAATGGATATTTTAAATGTTCTTAAAACAATGATATTTGAGGTGATGGAGATACGACAGTTGAACGGGACTCTTGTACAGCCTGGGGGGGGGTCGTCCCTCCAAGACCCCGGATTAGGCACAAACCACACCCAAACACCTGTTTTCACAGAGAGATCCTTAGTTAAATGGGAAAGAAAAGTTAAAGGCAGAAAAACATCAGTGAAGAGAAGAGGAGGAGGTCTGTGTTAGAATGGGCTAGGATGCAGCGGTCAGGAGGAAGGGGACGAGGGAGAAGCAGGTGGACAAGGGGAAGGGGTCAGGGACATTTGTCCTGGAGGCCCCAAGGACTGCATCTGGATAGAGCGGAGACAGATGTGGCACACAGGAAAAAGGTGGCTTATAAAGGTAACATGGAAAACCCCTCGTTAGGAGGAGGTGATCAATTTTAATTGGGCATGTTAATTAAATGAAACACACAGGGCTTTTGCTAGCTGGACTTTGGTTGTCAGCCTCTGGAGGAGGAAGTGGCCAAATAAGGGAGTAGACGTCGGGAGCTAGCGTTAGGAATGTAATCTAACGGTTTTTAGCAAGACAGAGGGGATGGGAGAGGACAAGGCCTGCCAGAGCTCGAGTGGGCTAGTGACCGACCCTTCAATAGTTATCCCAAATTGACCACTCCAAGATGGTTAGCCACATCAAACATACACAGACATACAATTACTTAAGTACACACAAAAAAATGTGCATAGTTATCCTCAGGCTGTGTTTTCTCTGCGCTTCCATTCATGGGCTGTAATCTTGGAGTGCTAAAAGAAGTAAGTCTGAGTAAGGAAAAAGACGCACTACCACAAATCATTTTAAGGGTCAGTGTTTCGGGCTATTCTACAGCTCAGCCACGGGGAGGCGCTGCTGCCCCGTTCTCGCTTCAGCCCAATCTGAGACCAAGAACCATTTTCCTTGCTCTGGTGAAGCCAACACTACACGGAGGGAAGAAACTGAATATGGACAATTGGGACCACAAGCTCAGGCTTACTCGATACATAGCATGAGAGTAAGAACCCTAGAAAGAACCCAGTTTGGCGGATTGCTCTATATACAGTTCATGTATTATCACAAAGCAGGGGAGTTCTCTAACCTGCCTGAACGTACCATCTTCAGGTCAGGCTGTTGTTTTCAACCTTCCTAATGCTGCGACCCTTTAATACGGTTCCTCACGTTGAGGCGACCCCCCCCCCCCGCCCAACCATAACATTATTTCCGTTGCTGCTTCCTAACTGTAGTTTTGCTACTGCTAGGAATCATGATGAACACACCTGATATGCAGCCCCGGGTGGGTCGCGACCCACACGTTGAGAACCACCGCCACGGCGCCCCTGCGGCCTGGAAGTCTCTGACTTTCCTTTTCCTTTGTGCCCATAGGAAAACTTCCCAGAATCCCCGAGAACATCTCACGCCTTAGAGTCCAGACACAATAGGAACCCTTCTGGGAGGTCGAGGGAGGGGGGGGGGTCACTGTCCTGGAGGGACGCAGGAAAGAACACCGGCATACGACAGACTTTGCCTAAAAGGAGACAAGAAAACCAGAAACACTGCGGTCCAGCCTTGGGCTGCCCAACATTTTTACATGCATTTCCAAAAATGTTCATGTTCCCGTGGAAGCGACACACTCCCTCAGGGGAGGCACCTGCGACTACCCAAGCAGCTCCATCCGGGAATTCTGGAGTAACGCCCACTTGTCTCCTTGTCCATGGCTGCATTTGTCCGTGATGCTCCAATGACGGACCACAATATAGAGTCTGATTTGGAAAGGACAAGAGTCACAAACAACCCCAGCCCCTTGGAGGTAGCATCTATCTAACTGTGGGAATGGTGAGTTTGAGGCCTACCTGGGAGAGGAATGTGGTCTTGGCTGGCCATGTTTATTGTCTTTGTAAGCATTCTTTGTTCTCATATAACCCAGGCTGGCCTCAAACTCCCTGAGTAGCAGCTGTTGGCTTTGAACTCGTGATCTTTCCTCTACCTCCTAAGTACTGGAATCATACGCCTTTTACATCACAGCAAACTATAATATTATTTATCATATTTGTGATCCTTAGTTCCACCTCATTAAATAATCCCCTTGTTTAAATTTTCTCTACAGTAGTATTTGAAATGAGAATTAACCATTTTTTGTTTTTTTTTTTTTTTTTTTTTTTTTTTTTGGTTTTTCGAGACAGGGTTTCTCTGTGTAGCTTTGCGCCTTTCCTGGAACTCGCTTTGGAGACCAGGCTGGCCTCGAACTCACAGAGATTCACCTGGCTCTGCCTCCCAAGTGCTGGGATTAAAGGCGTGCGCCACCACCGCCCGGCAAGAATTAACCATTTTTTTTTCTCTCTCAAATACAGCATACAGTGATATGTTGACATGAATGAGTTCAGGGGACTGGGATTGTTGGATCCAGACTTTAGCATTTGTTATTGACAACATCTCACTTCCTTTCTTTCCTTCTTTCCTTCTTTCTTTCTTTCTTCCTTTCTCTCTCTGTCTCTCTCTTCCTCTCTCTCCCTCCCTCCTTCTCTCCCTTCCTTCCTTCCCTCCCCTCTTTCTTTCTTTCTTGAAGATAACGCAGAGAAATTTAAGACAATTTTTGATATACATACAAGTTTGTCATTTCTTTAAAGTCATTCCTTGACAGTTTCATAGCTGTGTACAATGTGTTTTGAATATATTCACCACCCCACCCACTACACCTTTTTAAGGTCACCTTCTGTGGTGGTTGGGATGAAAATGACCCCATAGGCTCATGGGGAGTGGCACAATTAGGAGATGTGGCCTTTTGCAGTAGGTGTGGCCTTGTTGGAGGAAGTGTGTCACTGGGGGGTGGGGCTTTGAGGTTTCAAGTGCTCAAGCCAGGCCAAGTGTCTCTCTCTCTTCCTGCTGCCTGCCAATCTGGATGTAGGATTCTCAGCTCCTTCCCTAGCACCGTGTCTGCCTGCAGGCCACCAGGCATCCTGCCATGATGACAG